ATATATATACACGCACACATATCCGGAAAGGAAAGCGTTTTTCTTGCGCGCTTACACCATCGACAGAACGCTGGCCGACTTGGGCCGAGTTATGAATAATGCATGCGATAAATTCGCGTCGCACGCATGCAAGCGCGCCGGTAATTCCATTAGCTGTACCATTTTATCGCCCGATACCGCGGATTCAATTGAGTAACTCCTTTCACGCCGTCAAGTACCATTCCATTATTTCCTGCGACCGCCCTACGCCACGGCAAGTCGGCGAGCGCGGAGGCGTGCGGTATACAGTATGCGATCCCAATATTTCTCGCGCGCGATAAATGTCTTGTGGGGATGTGTTAACTGGTTTATTAATATCTATAGTTGCCCCGCCGCCTCGTCCATCATTGATACGGCAAGACGTTCTCGAGATATTTTCAGAATGGCACAAGTATTCCTGTATTATTACGTCGCTTTACTCGGAAACTGGGATCGGGGAACCGATTTCACTACACTTTGTCGTTGAATCGTGTCAGTTATAGTCGTGGTCGCGATCAATAATCGGAGCTTGATGAAAATATGTTGAAGCATTAACGTTCACGCTGCGTTGCAGATTGCATCGAACGAAAATGTGTTAATATTCTATAACTCTGTGCGGAGTATAAGCTGAATATGCCAGTCATAAGGCTTCACCACTGAATACTGCAAAGTATGACATACGTTTATGTTACACATGACACCTTTGCTGCACGGTATTGGCATACGATATATGCGCAATGGGTAACGGGCGGTAACGATCTACAGTTACCTCCTGCCACCGCATTCGAGGCGCAAATATTATATTTACACGAAGCAAAAAATCAACGCGATGTTACAAACACGTTATATTATATTATATTATATACGCGTCATATTGTATTATATTAATATACTCGACGTTTCGCGGAATGACACATTTTCCGTGTCCGACGTAGGATTATGAAATCTCGCGCCACGTGATATTTTTTACTTGATTATCGAGAATTAAAAATTACCACTCGTACACTATTTATCGGCTTAGATAATTTATTACAAGGCGTGAATATAAATAGGAAACTAGGCGGGTAAGAGAGGGTTAAGTGGCGAGAGACGATAATAGCGGAACTTCACACATAGCTAAAGTGCCACGCTATAGCTTCATTCACTCGTGCGATATATATCGCGATACCACGTATTTCATCTTTTCCTTGTATCGGACACTGCTATCGACTCCGCTACAGGCGTGTATTTTAGATTGGAACAGAAACGAGCCGCGCGTCTTTCTTTCTTTTTGCTTCTCTAACGTTTCAAACAATTGATAATAATCCGTCTCCTTCACGCGATATGTGGTGTTATCTCGTTATTTTCGTTCGCGACGTTCTTTTCCTCTCTTTAGGTAAGCACTCATTAATCATTCTAATTTATCGGCGAAATGGCGAGAACTGTACGATCTTATCTCTTCTACGGCCTCGCATTACAGTCAGCGCTAATTACGTTTCTCGCAATGCTTCAAAGATCACTGACGATTAGGTAGTTACGTAATCGCATAAGTTATGAAATAATCATGAAGAATTCCATACTTCAAGCACCGGATTTTTTACTTTTTAGATAATCTATTGTAGTTAGTTGCATGCCCACATAAACTATAGACTATTGCGCGTTTCACAATATGTATAAAGATATGTATACTCAATATAAAGAACGCGCGTTTAAATAAAATCGATTATAAATGTATGTAACTTAAAAGAACGCGCTGCACCGACATCATATAGATTTGTCATCACGTAAAATTACAAATATTTACACAGAATGAAAATACGAAAGTGTCCATGTATGACGGAGTATCCCATGTTACGTAAAAAAATAAAAGAAACTTCTACAAAATTTCTTTTTGCTTTTGATCTAATATAAGATATTTCTCATATATCTACATTTCCCTCCGGATAAGTATTTGCAATCCTATACGACCAAGTAGAAAGACAGTGCAAAATACAAAGCCGCATTATATCGGTATCCAGTGTCCTGTTAATAACTGGATAATTAAGTACCCTCTTCCAAATGTCGCAAATTTAACTCCTTGCTCTATTTAATGGGAAGTAAATCATTCCACAACTAACACGTTGAAGATATCATGTGTATCTTGAGTCACGAAGTAATCTCTATACATCTTAATTAAGTGATCATGTAATACAAAACGGGCATATATAAACCGCGGTATTTATTCGCCCTGGCTAAAACGCGGAGTGCGGTATCATGTTCTTCTCTCATTCTCCTTACCGTCTCACAAAAAATTCGGTGTTTTATACTAACGCAATTTCGTCATCTATCTGCCTAATCGCCATCCGCCCAAGTTGCACTTTGTAACTTACACCTATCACCGTGAGGTTGTTATTTCTTTCGTTATCAATCTTCTCGTTCTCATCGCGAGCAATTACAGTTTCTATCTCGGTTACTTGCCAATAATACAAATTACGAAGCAATTTCGCCTCTGCATCTGTTCTGCGCAAAGTGCAAACTAAAATTTTCATTTTGGCGCGCGGTAATTTTTCTTCTATGAAGTCTCAGTTCAGCAAACGATCGTCTCACGAAACATGCACAGGCAATTTCGTGAAGAATCGCGCAACATATTTCTTGTACAACAGCAGCCATCGTTTCTATGCGCTCATCTCCCGTCAGAAATCTAAATTATAAATCTTCTTCCTCTCTTTCTCCGTTTACGTTAACTGCATAGCGAATAGTGGTGCAGGATCGCGTACGAATATCGCAGGCAAACAGCAAACAATCGACTTCCTCCCCGTTTACGAACCGCAAACATGAGTCATAAATCTCTACGTTTCTTTCCCCCTATCTCTCTCCCTCTTTGACTAGAACAGCACTCGTAAATCTCTCTCCCTCCCCGACCGGCGAATGTCGCGTCGCAATTAATGTAATTAAGCTGAATCTCAATTATCGTAGACGCGGTAGACGAGATTTTATCTGTGTCATGAAGCGTCGTTTCGTTACTTCCTATGTGCGAGCGTATCTTACAACACGCGAAAAGCTTATTGCATTCCATTCCGTTTCTGTCGTTCTTATTATTCCAGTCTCTCTCGCGCTAACACACCTACTGATATCGTCATTAGACAACTATGCATAGCAGCGACGTTGATCATCATCGTGTGAATGTTTGCAAAATAAAACAGTAAAGAAGTAGAACGTAGTAGAAGTAGAACAGAAGACGTTGCAGAATGAAAGTTGAATTTCCTTATTTTTTCCACACTTTCTATCCACACGCAGACGTCAGTGTCACTAACGTTGGTATGTCCTAAATACGAACAACGCAATCACGTCAACGACTTGAGCAATTTTCGATCTAACCGCGAAGATGTAACGACATCTTCGCGTTATCTCCACGAGAGTCGTTAACGAGTCGTTAAGCGACGGAATAGTTGTCGATGTTTTCTGCCACTAGATTATATTTCCCGTACGAGGTTTTACGTCGAGAGCTGCCGAGAGAGCGCTGAGAATCGGAGCGTTGAGCGAAGAAGAGTACTAATAGCAACTTAAAGATACCCGTTGTTCTTTTCCTTCACGATTCCGAGCGCTCTTTGACGATTTCCCCATCGCCGTCCTAATACCGCGTACACACGCTACGTTCATCTCGTTTACTCGTCGAGTAGCGCGCGGCACGGGTCATGCAAGATGATTAGACAGCGGCGAGGTAATTACCTTCCGTGCACATGAAGAGTATGGCAGCAATCGAGAGCCTCGCTTGCCATCTCAGAGCCATTTCCGCGATTGTTTGGTGGTACGCTTGCACTTCGATACTTTGAAACGATTCACATCATCCACGCAGAACAACTGCTACCACCATCCACTCACTGATACAGCACACCAGGCGATCAGGCGATAAGGCGAGGTCTTATCGCGTCTTGCCCCGGCTCTTGCGCCGATCAACACACAAATACCGTCACGAAGAATCGGCCGGGTCCGCATCCGTCGCGAGAGACGAGACGGTCGGACGTCAGTTGAACGTGACAACCGATCCGAGACTCCAATCCGCCCGGCACGATCACGGATAATCGGCGGAAACGGCGGTGCCCTATCTCGAGGTGCCTGCGAGACGCTACCCCGTTCCGATGATGCGCGCGTGCATATCCTCCGCAAGTTAGGTGGTATCCCCCTACCACGTAGGGACAGTCACCACGTAGGCGATAACGCGCGTGGAAATGATTATGGCGAAACTTTGGACGGGCGGTGCGCCGCGTGCCGCGAAACTTTCCACCTGTCGTCGTTGTCCGCCTAGCACACTCTGCTCGCACACTGCCCTCGGATAACGTCCTCGCCGCCCCACTCGCCCCCTTCACCACTTTCGCACTGCTCTTCACGCGGTGTCAACTCGGTTTAGATTCCTCGACTCCTGGACGTTCTCCAGTGGATATCGAAGCCCTTTGGGGACCCGAGAACTCGCACTTCGAAATTGGGAATTGGACAATTGCTCCCGGTAAGGGACGCTAACGGGTCGCAGTGACCCTTTAAAGGGCGCTCCCAGTCGGCGTCGCGCGAACGCGCGCGGTCCGCATCGTCGCGCGGGCAATCCCGAAAATCGGAAACCGCGGCGGAGTCGCGGCACACATAGCGGGACGCGGCTTCATCTCTCGAGAACGACTCTCTCTCGCAACTCTCTCTTCCTCTCCTCGAGTCTCTCCGCGATCGACACTGCGGGCCGGATCGTCCGGAGCGGCCGATCGATCGATCGCGTCTCACTCGCGAGTCGATTCGAAAGCAACGACGGGACGCGCTCCTATTTGTCCTTGCCTCCTCGCCTTCTCGGGAGGCTGTGCTTCCTTGCACAGAGACAGAGAGAGCTTTTCAGGTCCAGTCACAGCAGGGAGGTTCTCCGTTCGCCGCGTAAGCGCACCCGTCAGCCACGTCGGGAAGCCTCTTTTGCGACCATTAATAATTCATCGTCCGAAACTGTTCCTCGGGTTTACCGCCTCGTTTCCCCTTCTTTACTTTACTTTATTCTTTTCTTTTCTTTTCTTTCCTTTTCTTGCGGTCGTCACTTCTCCGGCTCGGTCTCGCCGCGACTACGTCTCGACGATTAAGCCGGAACTCCACCCGCCGCGGGTTTCCATGTCGATCCTGGATCGCGCTCCGTTGCTCCGTGTTATTTTAAGAAATCGTCACGACGGTCGTACGCGTACGCGACATTGTATATAGCATAACGGCACGCACCACGTCTTGTTTCGGTGGCAGATTTACCCTGACTGGGGAGATTCTCGGCCGTGGGAGCATGCGCGTTTCCGATCCACCCCCTGTGACGGTGGAAGCGCGCAGAGCCTCTACGGATACACACGTACACACGGAGACTCTCTCCGGTTCTCTCTCTCTCTTTCTCTTTCTTTCTCTTTCTCACATCCAGCAGGGAGGACGTCGACACACGTTCGTCCTGGGGCGCGTACGCACACGCACGCATCCCTTCATGTGTGTGGTGAGGTAAGGGAAACCCCTTCCCCCTTCTGTCTCTCTCTCTCTCACTCTCCTCCCCCTCTCGCTTCCTGCCACCCTCTCTTCTCACCCTCGTTCCTCACCCCCCAGGACGTACGGCACTGTGTGTCACGGGCAGAAACTGTGGCAGGGCGTGCAAGGAGTGCAGAATCAAGGTACGAAATCTACGGCACTCTTAGAGCCGTTGCGATGGGCTTAAAGATTTACTCGCGTCTCCACGTACTTGTCAATCCAATCACGAATATGGCGGTCCCTCGTCTGCCAGCCTCGAGATTTCTCTTTGCCGATATATGAAGAGTTCCGATGACGGCCTGACAGCATTCTAAAAATTTTCCCTTGATATTCGCAAATCCAAGGAGATCATTTGCAGTCGAACATGGGAGAGCGTGCTGCAAATTCTCGTATCAAATGAGACTAATCGATAATATATTAGCAATTCGCGAATTCGCACATGGAGAAACAAGATTGATTGAATTATCCTAGTAAGTGTACAACTCTCAATGTATTTTGGTTGAAGAAAACAGGATTTTTGGTTCCTCAGTTGGCATAACGACGAAAAATTCTGCTTCCTTCAATCAAAGCACGCATTTCATTGTGTCATTGTCATGTTAATTAAGTATGCAGAGTAAACAACAAAATTTCATTGTTAACATTGTTGAATATTGAACTTTAAAAGCTGCACCAATACTGTTTCCGATCATATCTTTTATTATTTTCTAAACCTTTGAATTTTTGCACAGGATAATTTCTGTTTCATCTCCAATAATTCCCGATAACATCAAACGGATACGATTACAGAGCATCGTTTTAATGCGTAAATTTAAATGTCAAAACCAACACACACATACACACACAAACCAGCTGACACAATTATGATATAATATTAATTATCAAAGGCAGAAAAGATAGCGCGATACTCAAGGATCACACACATATATACGCGCGCGCGCACACACACACGCACACACGTTCTTTTTATCTCCCCAGCTTATCCAGCTGTACCCGTACATAATCTTGCTTTTCCTTATATACGTTGCGCAATTGCATTCTTCTTTATTTTCCACGTTTTATTCACATTTCCGAATGTCGATGCTCTTGAACAATAAGAATCAGATTTATTCTCAGCCACGGGAACGATACGCCGAGAAAGCAAGTAACACGAACTCGAGCAATGTGACTAAAAGCAACAAGAATGCGAATTATAAAGGAGCGGGTAATGTGAAAGGGACGTTGCGGGAATACGAATAAACCGCATAAAAGTTTCGGAGTATACTTAAAGAACCGTACGCGATACCTACGTGCAGATGCTATCAAGGATCTAGTTGAAGTGCTTATCGACATCCGAAAAGCACGCAGACTTGTTCCTTCATTTTTTTCTCTCTTCTCTCACCGTTACTGCACGGTACGTTATCGATCACGGGACGGCGTTATTTGTGAAAATTAGTACGATATTGCAAAAGATATCAAAATTATAGCGGTTAATAATTATTTTTATCTAGCAAATGTACATCGCTGTGGGATTAGTCTCGCTAATTAGTAATCAATGTCACTAATTGAGAAGTAATGCTCGTGTATTCCTCTCAGTCGCATTGATCGACGAACGTCGTTGAAATACGTACAAACGTAGACGTGTTGGTGCGGGTAGAATTTCTGTTCCCCGAAAAACCTAATACCGCGCGAGAATCGACAGAACTGATCATATCATCAATGATCCAATTGATATAGGCGGATATGTCAGCAGTGCTTTCAAAGTATGTCAACGGTGCATGAACTTTTTGCGCGAAAGTGTTATTGGTAATTTTCAAAATTGCTCGTATTTTTATTTCACCGGATATATCGACCCGCGGTCGTGACGGGCGTTATTTTTGCGCGGTGAGGCAACGTTGAAAAATAACGGCATAAATTCTTACAACAGAGAAGGAGAGACACAATGAATACGAATCGAATTAAGAAAGAAGTACAAAACATTAATGATTTAAGAGTGCAGACAGCCGAGGTTACTCTCAAGCATTCATTAAATCGCGTTTTCATATTAGATACCAGAAAGGGAGCGAAGGAGAAAGGAAAAGAGAGGACGAAAGAAAGCTATGGTAATAATGGCTTAATAGTCAATTAATACATTAGCGGTATTTTTTATTAAAACGTCGCAAGAGAATCTTCCGATAGCTAGTAAAATGTATTATAATCTTTAAGCCAAGTTCGTTCGCTAACTAAAATCGATGGCCTTTCTATTGTTGGAGATCTCAGTTTCGCGCGTTCGGTTCATATTTATATCTTATTTCCAGTTAACTGAGCCCAAATGTGAAACCGAGGTCCGCGACAATAGAAATAGGAACATATTAACGAACAAATGTCGCGCTTCATTCCGGCCGTTGTAAAACAGCGTATTTACCATCGAAATGCTAAAGCGTAAATCTAAACGTTTGTTTATGTGGGACGCGCGGCCGATTTGCCCCGTAAATTTGCCGCGCTTCAAAACTTTTAACCGGTTTACGCGCCGCGACAAAATAGAAGTAAATATCGCGGGAGATTTCCCCGCCGTTATTCGACGCGACTTAACGTGGTAGAATTGGAAACTGTGCATTGAAAATACTTCATCGTTTGATTTACGTTTGCATGTATCATCGCTTTTAAGCTGCCAGCAGTAATCAGCCGAACGCGGCCGACCACCATTTCCCTCGATAGCGCTTTTTCACGCGGTGAAACTTTTACTTCTGTTTCGGCGCGGATGGAAATTCTGTCAGCCCGGGTCCCACGTGTAACAACCATTAACGTTCTCAATCGTGAACACATTTTCGCTTGGGCTGTGAAAAAAACAAACGTGTATTTTTATAGTTGTCCGACACTGGCAGGATTCGTGCGCACGTTTGAGCTATGACTTGAAGTCATACGTCAGTCTGACGTTATCCTCTTTAACGCCATTTAATCGCTCTTAAGATAATTAGTACGAGTTAGTCACGAATTGCCGCGCCCGAATATCAAAAGCGTATTCCTGTTCGAAATTTAGCAAACCGTTTCTGACACACAGTTCGGTCATTCACTTGTCTCCGTATATCGCCCAAATCTTCTGTCGAGTTTGCGTTGCAGTTTTATTTTTGCGATAATAAAAATACATAAGACGGTGAAAGTGTATCTTCATGTTTTGAAATTGATACTGTCACTATCACTCGAGAAGTCTGGACAACGTTTCTTCTTAACACGTTACAAGTGCCATATCTCAGAATTAGCATTTATAGATTGGAAATAGCAATACTTCTAATATTAACTTCCAATTCTCATCCATTGACGAAGTTCGAATGAGCTTTTTGGCTACAGACAACTCAACATATACAAGAAATATCTAATGTTATATGAGTGTCATGATAGCTCAAACTCAGATCTTGACGAAATAGTACTATTAAAGAACGGATAAAAGGATATATATTATTTGGTGGTTATGAAAAATTCTAAAAAAAGAGTAATCGAAAATAACGTATAGCAAATTTAGTATAAATTCACTTTTTCCTCTGAGTATATAAAAAATTCGGCACACACACACACACCGGAAGAGTTGACTTTGCTCATCGGAACTCTCCGCGTTTTCTTTACAGCTCGATTTCTTGTCCTGGTGAGTCGTTCAGGCCTTCGGGATGGTACATAATGCATAATTAATGTGTATAGATCGACAACATTTCTAGAGCCCGAGTAAATATTCGGGCGGCCATGGTAAGGTCGTGCCGCGCTGAGGCTTTAAATATTAACTCACGTCTCCATTTTGCATGTCGACACGATCATGGGATATATTGGGCAAGGCAAGCCTAAACGATCATGCGATATTGCAGTATGTCAGTGGTTGGAGCAGCGAGGCGTATTCGCACGAAAGTACGCCATGTGTTCACGTGAAATACGTAACATTACTTGGCTGGATGAAGCGCAAGTGACGCTATCGCGGTAGACATACATTATTAATCTCCTAAGACGAATATTCCAAGACCGATGCGTTGATAGGCAAATGTACGTTCAACATTGTTACGCGATAAAGGAAGAATCTACATTGCACCATTTCGAATAAATTACGCTCCAAAAATAAAACTTAATGTCGACAAAAACGACGTGTATACTATAGTGCGTTGCAAAGAGGACAGAGCGACTCGGAAGAATATTACTAGAAAAAGTAAGAAAATCGACCTGTAGTATATGTCTCTGGTAGAAATGCAATGCAGTTTTCGAGCAGTTACTGGATAGTCATGTTAAAATTAACTGAACTAGTAACTGAAGAGTAAAATTATTTGAGGTCCTGATCAAGATGTAACGCTTTTCCTGCAGTTACTGAGCAAAGGTGCGCATCATCTGAACACATTTATTAAACGAAAATAAAATTGAAAATGAACAAAAAGCTATCCAACTGATTCATAATTGAAACTATTGTTCATAAAATAAACAGGCTTGTTCTAGTAATATTTACATTAATTGAAAAATTTTAATGCTAACGAGTGTCATAGCGCAAAAAATCTTTGATGCATAATATATGCTTTCATGTATTTGTCTTTATGTGACATTTTTCACAATCATTAAATAATATATGTTTTTTATTCATTCTTTTAATAGTACTATTTCACCAAATTCTGAGTTTGAGCTATCATGACATCCATATAACATTGAATATTTCCTGTATACAGAATGTCCAGTAACTCACGGAAGAGCCGCAGGATATAAATAAATTAAGTTATAGTGAACAAAAAACTTTTCTACCATTTTGCGAA